ATTGCTAGTTGGGTGCCTGATAATGTCGCATCTCTGATGTGTTTTCCCGCCACCGTGGGAGAACCGGTCTGTTGAGTATTCCGGCATCTGGTACCACAAGAACGCCATGGCATGCAGGTGGCTGCGACAGAGCCACCCATGTAGGGAACTCCGCTGGGGAAGCCCTCGCCCAGCCCCTGACTGACTTTCCAACGGTGCTGGTCATCCGTCGGTGGGCTGCATCGGGAGTAACTCTGAACCGGGGAGACTCACCTGTCCGGAGGGGTGGCCGTCCTGTCATCCGACTGGCGTGTGGGCCTGACGGCGCCTTGTCGTAGTGATGACAACTGGGACGAGGGAGTCCTTTATCGATGCACGGTGTTAAGGATGTGTGCTGGTTATTGATGAGCTTGTGTGATGTTGAATATATAATACAGTGCCGTGCAGAATTGATTGGGTGCCATTTGTTACCTTGTTAGGTCCTTGAAGCTGTCCAGAACTCAGCGCTGTTATTGGCACGTTTCAGTACCATGCCGTTGATCGTTTGCGAGTTGTTGCGCTTGTTGCGCCTTTTTATATATCCATGTGTGCTGCACATGTTTTTGCGTTATATTATGTGCTGCCAAGATATTCATTAGACCTTCTTTCCCTGAAGGCCAGTAAAATCGTTCGAACGGGAACCTGCGGCTATGTTATTTATTAATAGCATCCGTGCAAACCGCAATGCTTATATAATTCCCCACTTGCCAACGTCATGGTGTGTTCTAGCGCCGGTGATAATGTAAGCTGCATGCGGTCGTAAATCATAAATGGCTTTTCCGGAGCGTCCACAATCCCATTACTAGCACCTCCACTCTGAACAGTTTCCTAGAACGTTGGGTCAAGTGCAGACTTGGCACGGTCGAAGGCCCCGTGTGCCAATCTCCTTCATTGGTCACGATGGACCGATAGTTCAACAGTGTTATCGCGTCTGCGTGAAGTCACATTTCGGATGTATCGTCTGCTGCCCCGGCTTCCCCGATATCGTTTCCATGTGACGCCCTTGAAACCCGGTCGCTATGGACCACGCGCTGTACCTTGGCACTGTTTATTGACGCGCTGTCGCGTTATTGGACGACGGCGTCACGTGCACGCGCTATCACGCCCGGCGCACCGTCACCATGGTGCGATGACTCACCGGTCACGTGATGTGTTGGGGAGGGGGAGGGGGTCTCGCTGGAGTTCAGCTGAGCGCGAGGAGGTTTTCCGGGAGAGGCGTTGCACATTACAATGGCGGCAACGCTCGGCGTCGTCGCAAACGTGCAGGGTTTGGTTCTGCCCCGCTCACCAACCCCCCCCCCCCCCCCCCCTGTCCTCCTCTGAATTAATTTCGGGTTGGGTTATCGAAGTTGCAGAACCCTCTCCTGATTCAAGTGGTATCTTTGTTCGCCTGGGGTTTTGTCTTGACGCTATAAACGAGCGGCGCACTGACGTGATTGGTGTTGGCTTTAGGTTAAAATCAAGACCCACGATCGCTTCGCCACCAATCTCCGAATGACAGCAAAAAGGCGACCACGTACTGCTTTGACGCTTGGAAGATTGAATGCCTTGTAAAAAGTCTGATTCATTGGGTCGTGACGTTCGTGACTCGGAAGACGCTAATGACAATCGACTTCACGCGCGCGCGCGGGTCACACCTTTGCATTGATCACCTTTTTAAGCTGTAGTCCGAACCTCTTGGTTCAGTAGATTTCTGGATTGGAGCTATTTCAGTGAAAGTGGTGGTGAAGCTTGAGCTCCTAGCTTTCAAGGCCGCCAATTCAGAAGCCCCATGGTATAGAGGAGGGGGGGGGGGCACCTCAGCTCGGTTCACAAAACAGCTGCTCATCGACTGGCACGTATGTCACGACTTTGCCCACCAAATTCGCTGCCGCAGCGGCTGTAGGTTGGCGACAATGCCGGGGGGGGGGGGGGGGGGGCAATCTTCGGCCACGCCTGTCGTGCGAAGTAAACCCCCATACCGGGTAGATTCGATCTGAACCGATCATCCCTTGACCCGGTCAAATTCAAGCTCATCACCGCACCAGACCGGGCTGTCTGAACATCCGCGTTTGACTTCCATTGAAAAGACGTGCAGAAGCTGAGCGCGTCTGTCGTACGAGCGTCGCTGGTATCACTGAGCATCAATGTCTGAAGTAGGTTACCATTCCATAGCCCCAGGGGTGAGTGATGTCTCCGCCCACTGGTTTTGGTCGGCTAGCTCAGTGTTTCCGGTGCCTGGAGGGCCCCCGCTCCAAATATTTGCACGCGTTTCTGGGTCACTTCTCTCTCACACACGGCTGCCGGCCACAAAAACGTGCCGTCGCACGTGGGCCCGTGCTGCAGCAGTGCAGCCCGCCCGGGGTCGGGCGGCACCCTCCGTTTGACCTGCACCATTGGTAATGGGAATCCTGCAGGAGTCCGCCGACCGCACGCACCACGCGCCACCGAGCGATTCGAAGTCGGCGCC